TGATTATATACAAAAAAACATGGTATTTTAGCGAATCAACGTGCATTGTCGTGGTGCAAAGATGTTTTTTCCCATCTTCTCAGACATGTTATTTCGGGAAGCATGCACGAAAAATGTAAAATGTTATAAGTTATAAATGATTTTTCTCTTATTTTCTGATATGACATGTAAAACATATAGAAGAACAAAAATATAAAATAAAAAAAGTAGGGTCATGAACCTTCTTAAAGAGATACAAGCCTAGGGTTAAACATGCAACATGATGTGGTTTAGTGTTAGTTGCACAGTAGCCCTAGCCAGAGGTTTGTCATTTTTGAAGGTGTAGTTCCTGAAGCGCGCCTATATAGTCAATGCAGAGTGTTTTCTTTATCACTTTACATTGCAGTTCGACTACATAGATTAGCTAGAATTTGTTATTAGATATGCGCAGTAAAAGTGCGCAATGCAAAACTGATGAATCACCTTAACCTTACGTTATTGTGCCGGCAGTATACCTGCTTGCATACATGTTTTGAAAAACTTCGTCGACTGTTGTTATGTGAAACTATTTAATCAATTGCGTACACACGCGCAACAGACGGTTAATGATGACTAATTTGACTTAAATTACTTAAATTCGGCACAACGCTCAAGCGTGGTGCATTTACCACTCAATACATTTCTATAAAACTATATTGATTTGTAAAAGAGCATTGCTCGAAACTTACCACTAGTTTACATCTATTGCTTCTCTCTTATATTAAGGAAAAAATTCATGTCATGAAGATGCTGGCTGGTTTGTATATTTCTTATTACTAATTGTTTTCATTAATCATTATTGTAATAATGGTACAAATGGTATTTTTGAATATTGACTATTGCAGAATGAAGAATTCTTATCTTTTGAATGCTCAGCTCTTTCCAAGGTAAACATTTTATAATTTTGAATGACTTCAGATGGTGTATCAGCAATGAAGTTCCTTACCGCAGCCAAGATAACTCACAGTAACAAAATGGAAGACCTGTCCAGAGAATTTTGGAAAAGGATTTATAAAACGGTATGACTGTTTCCTGGCTTGCTATGGCCGCTTCGCAGTTAATCTGCAGAACCTAAAGGGAAAAGGTCATCTTCAAATTCAATTTATGAAATAAACTAGATGCATTTTTGAACCTATAGGCTAAATTTGTCTCCAGTCTCAAGAACTTATCTTGTGTATGCAATATTGAGTTTTAAGATTTCGTTGGAATTCAGTTTATTTTTGTCGTGGCCGTGGTCCATCACCTTTCTGTATTGCTCTTTTTACACTTTAGTCCACGATACGTTCGGTATGTTACCGTTTTGCCTTTTGGGCATTTCACTCTATTAAACTAATGTTGAAGGATTTTGTAGATGGAAACGTCGAGTAGAAATTTCGAAATAACACCAGGAGCAGCAGCGAGAAATGGCAGGAATCGAACGTGTAATCGAGCTGTAGTTCTACATGAAAAAATGGGTAGTTCTAAAACTTAAAATTGGCAGTTCTAAAACAATTGGCAGTTCGCCAAAAATGTTGGGAAAAGAAATATTAATTAGCTAATTGATTGGAGTTCTAACCGGGGGGCACTATACTGTCCACTTGGACACTGTGGATTTTTTTGAAATCGGATTAATTAATTGAATTGATTGATTTAATTGCATGATACCATGAGTGCGATTAAGGTGGCTCAATAGAATTTTTGAAAAAATGGAAAATGCACGATTCAGATCCGTATTTTTGGACAATTATTAGTTGTTGAAAAACAAAAAGTATCTTACTCATATGAAACAATATCTAAAGAGTTTGAATTTTTACACAAAGTTACACAACTGCCGTTGCTATGGCAGCAATGACGTTTCAAGATGGCGGATATTTTGGCTCTAAAGTAATTTAACTCGTAAACAACATCGGTGAACCCCAAATTTTATTTCAAAAAATGAGTTTGCCTAGTATAATCTATTATTTTGAAAAAAAGATTCTGTTGAGCCAAAAAAAAATTATCATGCATAATTAGCTTTACGTAATTTGAAAAATTTCGGCTCAACAGAATTTTTTAAAAATTGTCAACGTAATTCAATATACTAAGAGAAACCATTTTATGAAATAAACTTTGGGGGTCACTGATGTCGTTTTCGAGTTAAATGACTTTAAAGCCAATATATCCACCATATTGAAACGTGATTCTTGCCATGATACAACGGCAGATGCGTAACATTTGTGCAAACATTCAAACTCTTTAGATGTTTTTTACATAAGTAAGATGCTTTTTGTTTTTCAACAAGTAATACTGACTTGTCCAAAAATACGCATTTAAATCGCAAATTTTCCATTTTAAAAAACTGTATTGAGCCACTTTAAATGAGAATGTATGACCAATAATGATCTTGAAAAATGGTCATTGCTAAAATTTAAATCACCATTACTGTATTTCACTTATAGCACGAGGAGTTCGGCTTTTCTGAAGGTCTTCACAAGGTTTGTAACAAGTAATTTCTTATGGATACTTATTAATGTTCTTTTCTTGAACTTTTCACTAAATCCTCAGACAAAAACCCGATGTTCAATCCTATTCACAATTGAATTGAATTCACTGATTGAGAACGGGTTGACACGAGATCTGACCAATTCGGAACCATGCCAAAATTTGTACCGTTCCACGTGTTCACATGGGAATTTGTGCGTTTAGGTGTTCGAATAGACTTTTCTCATAATCACGTCAAATGCGGAAATCCGCAGTGCAAATGATGTTACATGACATTTGATTGGCTCTGCAACGATTTACATTGCGAATTGTTCTTAAAAATCGTTCCGTGCCACATCGCCTTTACGGGCAAGGCGGGCGCCGAAGCGTTTATCCGTGTTTGACATCATTATGAAAAATGTCTTTTCACGTGTTCCGTGTGAAATGGAAAGGCGAAAACGTGCATATTTCACTTGGAAAAAAAGTGAAATCCGTACTATGGAATTTGCAATTGCACCACTAAATCCATAGTATATCCATACTATACCCATAGTATGGAAATATCAATTATTATGGATAATCAAAATCCATTCTATTTCCAATAAAGTTCCATACAATTTCCATTCTATTTCCTTCTATGGATTTTCAAAATGTTTTCCAGTGTTTGAGTACGGTTCCAAATTAACCAAGTCGTGTGTGATCGGAGCATATAATTCAACTAGGACTGAATAAAAATGAACATACTTGGCCATGCACAATTTTAAAATGTTCATCTGATAACTAAGCAGCATAATTGGCTAATCTTCTCATGAATAAATACATGTAGGTATTGGTGTTTTGCTTATGAGATGGTTTAACATTTCATGTATAGGTGTGCGAGACAGTTGGTATAAACAAGGATGATGCTCAGAAGATAATTGATGAATCACCGAAAGAATCTATTCAAGTAAAGTTGAACGAAACTATGAAGAGAGCCGTTGATTACGGAGTAAGTAATCCAGAAAGTATGACCACGTAACTCCATTTCTATATACGTCAACTGAATTGGTTACCAGTGGACAAACTACTTTAGAGACGCTTATCTGACCTACAAATATGTAAATAACCTTGCACCCGATTACCTGTGCAATAAATTTAGAAAAAGGTCATCAATCCATAAATGTCAGACTCGCATGCATACATGACTCCCTGCAAATACCACTCTTCAAAACTGCAGCTGGTCAACGATCGTTTGCCTATAGAGCTGTCCACATTTGGAACAATTTAGATAAAAACCTGAGAGATGACGCTCCTCTTAAAATCTTCAAGACAGCACTTAAAAAAAACATTTGCTTGCCAAGGAGAACAAACAGTTTAATTACTTACTAAACTTTGTGCATGGTTAAAGAAAATTGTAAATTATTTCTGAAAAACCCTTTCTGAGAGAAATTTTATTAAATATCTATATCTGTCTAGTAAGCAATAAGTTGTTCAAATTTATGTAATTATAACAGTGGACACAAACAAATATGCATTCATAGGGCTATAGGATCCACAAATCTGTTCTAGGTTCATATAAGGCTTTGACATGACAGGCACTTCTTGATCAAGGGGTAGAATGTTCTTTAACGATTACGATTTACCCTAATCCAAACCCAAATCCTATACCCAGCATGATTGTAAGCTCTTAGCTTCAACCTATAACTACTTGTAATACGGGAAACCAGATATTTTTGGTTATACTGCAAAGTTTTTGACTAGTAATATTTGGACTTAGTCCATTTCCTGGTTATCTAATTTGTCTTGAGACAGATTTAACTAGGATTTGATTTAACCATGCATGCATGAATTGATTTAATCAGGAAGTCGACAAAGTTGAATTAGATTCAGAATTATGCAAAGTGGAAATTCTGAACAGATGCCTGGGGCCGGTTGTATAAAAAAGTGATTAAAGTTAACTATGGAACTAGGAACGTCATCCAATAAGAAGCGCCAATTTAAGAGTTAATCACTATTTAACTACAAAATAGTGATTAAAAAAGTGATTAAGAGTTTCATACAACCGACCCCTGGTTGTATACCATATAAATAATATGTAGTATTTCTATGTTATATACTTACCTATTATAGTCTGGTATAACTTATAACAGTAGAAGAGTTTTTGTAGATGGAAATTTTGAGCAGAAGATTACATACAATTTTAGACCTAACCATGGAGCTGCTGTGAAAATGAATAGGCCCTCTGGCAGAAATCGATGCGGTACAATTGCATTTTTCGCAGTTGCTCCTGGTTAGATCCGCTAAAATTGTATATAACCTTCCGCTCGAAATTCCCATCTACAAAAACCCTTCAACTGTTAGCTCTATCGATGGTGAATCCAACCCAGACAGTCCTGGTTAACTCGGTTAAAACATGTGTTTGGCAAACTAATATCCTTATAATTATTTCACTTCAGGGTTTTGGAGTTCCGACAATTTTAGTTGAAAATCCTGAAGACGAGAGCAAACCTGAGATGTTTTTTGGTTCGGATCGTTGTCACCTTATTGCTCGTTATTTAGGTCAGTATAAATAAGAATAGCCTCTTGGCCCTCAACGGAATTTTTCGAACTACCCATTCGCAGCCTAAACCCATAGAGATAGCTGCGGAGCAGGCTATAGTTCCGAACTTAGAAACTGTTATCCAAAAACATACTATTTGGTTTAGAACTAACAAGGATACATTTAATCAACTTGAGGTGCATTGAAATAGCAATTTAAACACTGAGAAATTGATTAGAAATTAGAATACAATTTAGACCACTAATGGACCTTTCCCCTTATAACTAAAATTTTGATCTAGACAAAAATTTCATCACAGCTTGAAAGAGCATCACAAAATTAGTAATATTCCAAAGTTTCGTTGCGAAATGTTGTAAAATGCGGATAATATAGCCTTGCGAAGTTTGCCGTTTTTCAGTCATTTTGTATTACGCATGGGAAATTGACAGCCCAATCGGGTGTTGGGGCATCAATTTCCCGTTTGTAATACAAAAAGTCAAAATGACTGAAAATTGCAAATTTCGCAGGGCTATATTATCCGCATTTTACAACATTTCGCAACGAAACTTCGGAATATTACTAATGTTGTGATGCTCTTTCAAGCTGTGATGAAATTTTTGTCTAGACTTGTCTAGATCAAAATTTTAGTTATAAGGGGAAAGGTTTAGTGCAATAGTGGCAATTGTTTTGAAAGTTTTGATGTAGAAATTAGAATTAGAAAAGATAGTAGATGATGCGCAGTAAGGCCTAAGGCTAAGGGTAAAACACATTTATTTAGGAAACGTTCTCTGGCTGTAAGTATTTATTTGTTACAAGCTTTCGGCTGTCAGTCTATAGACTTCGGCGGGTATATAGTACTGCATACAAATAATTGTTGAGGGACGCTAAACTTAAGAAGGTGACATGAAATCTGAAATTATGACTATGTTATATAATTCGAATATATAATTAATGTTTCTTGAGCTCCTTTCTTAAAGTATAGTGTATTGATTGTCCAGGAAGTGTTTTGGAATTATTATCAGCTTCGTCCGTTAGGGCAGTATGCCAGGAGTCTAAGATCTTAAGGTTTTTGTGATTGTTTCCGTCGATTACTTTGGCATTGTCAAAGTCAACCGATGTGGTTATTGGTAAAGGCACAATATAGTGCCAGGGCAGGTACCTTAATTAAAATAGTTTAAAAGCGATACTCTTTTCTTGTATTGGAAGAAAATAATGGTATATGGCGGGAAATAAAATTTCACATGCAAATTGTTTAGTCGCAGTTATATTTTTCGTTTAAAGGTGTCGAGTGTCATAGTCCTGGCAATTGCAAAGATCATTGATTCATAGAGACTGGATATTGCACTGATGTATTCCTGGAACTTTAACAAGGGGGATTTCTAACAATGTCCTAAAAAAGGAACTCGGATGACAACAGGACAACAACTTGGAAAATTCCAATCTCTATTTTTATTTGTAATATTATATCTAGACTCCAATTTCAAAAAAATTTCAAGGTTAAGACTATGTAATTTAAGACAGAAAATGTATCGAGCAAAACATTTTTTCAATATGTGCCCACGAAATAAAAAAACGACAAAAAAGATCGAGCAATAACATTAAAAATATTATCGGGCTCAATGAAGATCTACCCCCCCCCCCTTATAGGCCGTTTGTCCACCCCTTATAGGCCGTTTACTGCATGCGGTACGCTATCGTTCAATGCTGTTGGGTACCTGTGGAACTGAATAGTTTTAATCCACACTCGCCACTTTCAAATACGCTGATTACGAATCCGAAAAATTCTTGCTCCTAACCTCTTTCATTTTGCAACTAATCCACCTTGTATAGCTCACCCAATCAGATTGCAGAATAGCTCATATATGATGGGTGACAATATAGACACACACACACACACGTACGCGCGCGCGCGCAAATATTTAATTTAGTCACGAAGAATCGCAGAAACTCATTCACAAAAAATCGAAGCAATCACGATTCACGAAGGGGCCCCCACGAAAATACAAGTAGTTTCCGTTCCAATGGTGAACTGTGGCGAGATCTCGGTTGCGCAGTACAAACTTTCCAGTCTGGAACTGTTCGAATATCGACTTCATGGTCGCAAGACAATCAAGATAGACAAGGAACCTTAAACAAAAGGAATTCCTTATTCAATTCTGAAAAAAGTTGTTCACGCTCCAACGATTCACGAATCACGTCTACTTCATCCTTCATTCACGGATGACCGTTAATTAATCACGGATTAAGAAAATCATCGATCACGTTTCACGATAAGTAAGGCCTGTTTTATACGTTGAATTTCGGTTGCGTCGAATGCAATTCAAACAATAGATAATGAAGCTTAGTGGGGTTTATCATCTCATTATCTAAAATTCGACGTATAAAACAAGCCTAAAATACCTTCACGCTTCACGTGCAAAGTATAGGGGCCCTCTACAGTATCAGGACAAGGTGTACAAAAAAATGAGACCTTTAGAAATCAAGCTATTGTTGTTAAAAACAAGATTTTATGCTCCAGGGAATTTAAAATAGCTTCTAATTAATCGCACGAAGGAGCATAATTGGTGAATCACAATCAAAACGACTCCAAAAACTTCACTAAATAGAGCTGCTAGAATTATCTTGAACATGAGTAATGACGTAAATCATTCCATTGCTCTACGTGCATTGGGCTGGGAGCCACTCAAAAGTCAAAACTGAAAGGAAAAAAGCTAAGGCAAAAATGATGTACAAAGTATTAAATAAAATGGGTCCTAAATCACTCACCAATCTTTTTTCATACAAATGTGAGAAAACAAACTACAACCTTCGTGACATTTCAAGCGGTCTTAGTTTACCAAAACCGCGTACTAACAACATGAAAAATAGTTTCATGTATGACGGAGCACACCTTTGGAATTCTATTCCAAAGGAAATTAGGGAAAGCAAAACTCTTTCATCCTTTATAAGAAATAAAATCGCTGCTCACAAAGTTAACATAGAGTAAATTGATGTAACTGTAAATATTCTAATAACCTTATCATGTAAATAATTTAATATTCTACCTTTTTAAACTTATAAGTATTTTAATATCTCCATGTAACATTTTTCTATTTTTGCACACGCCCCCCGTGGAAATCAGCTTCGGTTGACGGGGTCAGCGTGTATAAATAAAGTTTCTATCTTTCTATCTATAACTACACAAAAATTGTCAAATCAAATAAAGTTTCAGTATTCCAACAAAAGCTTGATTTTTAACGGTCTCGCTTTTTTTATACACCCTGTACAGGATAATCACAGTTAATGAACTGTGGTCACAAAAGCTGTGACAACCCCCCAGAGATTTACACCCCGGAAGATTGCCTTTTAATTAGCATACCCAGCATGCAATGTGTGCACGTGTATACAGCGGGTACCAAAATGGCGTTTGAAAGTCACTCTCAAAGCTCGAGTGGATCTTTTTCTGGGAGCGTAGACATAGATAATCCACCATTTTCTCGTGTTTTTATTGTGTGTGGACGTAGTTTAACCTCAGAAGAAGTGAGAGATGCGTTTTCTGTCTATGGCACTGTCGATGATGTACGTATGGTCAAAGACAAAGTTACGAAGGAGAACAAGGGAATTTGCTTCGTGAAGTTTTCGAAAGCGTCGTCTGCTGCTATGGCTATTGAATATTTGGACGGGAAAGTTATTGGAAATGATTCCAAGCCAATAAAAGTAAGCTTTTAGCACTGTTTTTGTGTTGATATATGGCTGATGTTTATGTATATCTCAGTATGTATGCGTTCTATAATTATAAATGTATTTGTTCCCCACATAATTTTTCCCACCAGCATTTTTGATGAGAAAATTTCTTCCGCGAAATGCGGGCATGGATGCTCTGCCATTTCGTAATTCGTCGAATAAACCTTCCAGATTTTACCTAATTAATTTACTTGCCAACAATGTCGCATGTTTCTGCAAATCAAAGGCACCAGATACTTCCTGCTTTGCTTCCCATCTGTGGTGGGAGGCTGTTAAAATCCACTATCATGATTTATAATAATTTTAAAACTTATTAAAATATATGATATGCAATAAAGTAGCACTGTATTGAACTGCACTCCTCTTTATTCATTACTCTCTTACAAAAGTAAGAGGGTTTTTTAAAGAACGAAGCAGTAATGTACAGCACTATAAACATGGGGGAAGGGTCAAATATGCATTTCTGACGTCTTAAATTAAATTAAAAAAACCCTTCTCACCTGGCCTATGCACAGACTAATTTCTAGGGAGGACTCTTGCAATCCGAATTGACCATTTGCGTAATAGACTAAATTTTGAACTAAACAAGTCTAGACAAAAATTTCATCACAGCTTGAAGGAGCATCACAAAATTAGTAATATTCCAAAGTTTTGTTGCAAAATGTTGTAAAATGCGGAAAATATAGCCTTGCGAAATTTGCATTTTCAGTCATTTTAGATTACAAACGGGAAATTGACAGCCCCAAACCCTTCGAGGCTGTCAATTTCCGGTTTGTAATCTAAAATGACTGAAAATTGCAAATTTTGCATTTTACAACATTTTGCAATGAAACTTTGGAATATTACTAATTTTGTGATGCTCTTTCAAGCTGTAATGAAATTTTTGTTGAGATCAAAATTTAGTCTATTATGCAAATGGTCAATTAGCACTTCCATGGTTTTTCCAGAATTTGTGGGAAGGCATCTGATTGGATAGTCCTTACCCACTGAGCATCAGGGCTCTTTCCTTGATGAGTAAGATTGTCTGTCATTGGACAGAGAAAAGTAATAAAGTAGGATGCATTTATAGGATGCAATGCAACTTAAGGGTTAACTAATCTAACTTATAGAATATGATATGCAGTGGGCATGTTGTAAAACACCGACTGGACTTTGGAATTTGGATGTGTATCATTGTAGTAAATCAAAGAATTATTTGGACATAAATGTTTTACATAGTCTTGTAGTAAACTTGTGGTTCTATGTATAGACAATAAAACTATCAGGTTGAATCTGAATCAGATATTGATATTTTATCACAGTGTAGCATGTGTTTTTGTTACTATGGTTGCTGATGTATTGTTTACATGGTGACAGACACTTGTGACTGCATATTTGCCATCTGCATTTTTTATAAGTGTCTGATGATCATGTCCGACCAAAACATGGGTTGGTCTGACACAATGTCAGACCAAGTTTTCAGAATTATATTTAACTCTGTAGCCAATAGCATTCCCTTATTTGTATAGATCATGTATGTGTGATATTTGTAAAATTTCAACTTTTTCAAGTTTCCAAATGTTAGGGTGTCCAGATAAAAATGGATTTGTTTTTTTTTGTTTTTATTATATAAAACAAATAGATAAGATTTTGTCATTGTCTGTTCAGTTATAGATACACAATAGGTCGTTCCAGAAAAGATCCATACTCCCCCCATGGAGGAAATTTCTGCCGTCCGGAGGGGAAGGGGAGAAAAAATTGTTTCTGATAATAGTAAATGTATTAGGACATCCGAAGGGGGTAGGGGGGTTAACTTCCTATTTCCTCCGTGGGGGTGGTATGGATGTTTTCTGGAATGACCCAATATGACATCATACTGTGTATCTATAACTGAACAGACAGCAGCAAAATCTTATCTATTTATTAACCAGATCATATTTGTTATGTAACTACCTGTCAAACAAGCACAGCAGTGCACATTCAAGTGGGAATACAGGAAAGTAAAATTAAAGAATGATAATAAATGTGACTCTTTTTGATGGCAAATATGTCGCCTGAATTTCAGACAGCCACTCGTTGAGATTGAGACTCCACAAGTGTCTCCATGCATATCGCCATGTAAACAGCACATCAGCAATGAAAACACACATGCTACACTACGATAAAATATCTGCTCGAGATTTGCGGTGATGTTTTACACATTGAACCACAAGTTTACAACAAGACTATGTATTGGCATTTCTATAACAGGCAAAATCTTATTTGCACTCGCATGATTTTGCAATACCAAATCAATACCAATTTCATATAAAGTGACTGTACAATAACAAATGAAGTAAATTCCATCAACTCACATCAAAAACATTTGTGTCCAAGAAATTCTTTGATTTACAGAGATATACATGCAAATTCCAAATGAACAACCTCCAGTCTGGATTTTACAAGTCTAGTCCAGTCTGCATTTTATAAGTGCAGTCCAGTCCACATTTTACAACATGCCTATACAGTGCACATTACATTTAGGCCAGCATAATGAAGTAGTTTTCTGTTGCTTTCTAAAAAAACACCTATATAAAATAATAAATAGTGAAGGGCAAATGTACTGAACAAATAAATTATGGGCCTCTGAAGTGCACTTGCCCCATTTATATTTTGCTCGTCTTCCCTAAGGGGTTGTCCATTTATAACTCTCAACATTTTCACAAGTGTACAGAGAATTCTCCTTTTTAATAGATGGTTGTAGCTGGCCTAAGAAAAAGTTTCCTTTGAACAGCAACTTGCAAGCTTTGTACATTTCTGTTGTATAGATTTTGATACTTTTTTTGTTGAAAAGATGCTGAATGTTGAGTACAGTATATATGTTTGCTGTGTCCACGAAAATAGTTTGCCATACAGTATGTCCGGATAGATAGTTTTGACTATTTTGTGGATGGATAGTTTTGTGGGGGAGTGGTCTAGGGAGTCTTAAAGTCCTCTAAATTAACAAGTGTACACCAACTGAACTCTGTACCAAATTATAATGTATCACTACTTTCATTCTTCAACAAGATAACTTCAAGATTTATAATGGCAAACAACTAAATCAGTTTAATTACAAAATAGTATGTCCTTTTTTAATATAACCAGGCTATAAAGTGGACAAGGTTGAGGAAAAATAACTTTGTTTGAAAGCTTAGAGTGGAGGAAGGAGAGCAGAATTGATATTTCAAGTACTAATTAAACAAAGTAACTGGAGGTAAACCTCGTGGAGACGTGGCACCTGCCAGAGCTACCAGCTTATTTTGAAAGCCCTGGCTTTGTATTATAAATATGCCTGTGCAGCAATGCATATTGTTGTTGTCAATGAAGTAGCCAATATTTTATTATGAACCAATGAAGCAAAGCATTTCTTACAGGTAACTTGAGCAATATTATGGCAAATGTTGATTATATGTTTAATTTGGCATTATCCCTCACTAGACCCTTAGGAATTTTTTTCATGTAAAGTTAATTAAAACATATTTTCACCACTGTGGTTGGAGCGAGGGTAATAGGAACAAAATTTAATGTTGGAAATGGTTTCTACTATTTCCTTGCAAATTTCACAGTAAGTACTGTAATCAGCAGCTTTTCATAGTAAGTACTGCAATCAGCAGCTTTGCAAATCAAATCTCAATATGAAAAACAGGTTTATGGTGAACAGAATACCCTACAATTTTTTATCTTCACATAGTCCAAAAGGTTAAAAATGAATCTATCATTGAAAATATTGAGTGTTGTTGAGTGATGTAAAGTTGTTATCAAATGTTTCTTCCATGCCTACCCCTGGTTGAAAAGTTCTACCAACCACATAGCAAAATACAGCAAATCAAACCTGTGTGCTATTAATCTAATCAGCCTCAGGGCATTTCTAATATTTCGTGGTTGCGCAGAATAACAACGGAGATTTCAAACGGAAATTTCTTGGGTTTGCTCAGGCACAGAGAACACTTTCCACCAAGTATAAACCGACTGTCTCTGAGTATCTCCACACCAGCTAATTGCAATACCGCAGTGGGAGTCAAACCACGACCATTGGCTTGCAAATCCTATACTCTACCAACTGAGCTACGAAAGTCCAGTTGGTTCGAGTAGATAATATTTCAGAACTCAATCTAAGTAACTTATTTTTAACATAAAAATCATTGGCTTGAACTGTATATTCAAAGTGGTTATAATGGCCACTATTAGTGAATCCTTGTGTACTATTATGTTCGTCTTAACCCAGCTGTGAAAAGGGAAATTTTTTAGTTGAAATATTCTTTAAACAACAGCATGTCGGCTTTTAGGATAATTTTTCACTGCAAGTCATCCTGATATAGCGGCGCAACGATAGCTAGATCTAAATAATCTCTTGAATTAACACCACAGAAAAAATTAGGAAAAAAATAAAATATTACCAGTACTCACAGTAGCTACTTTGAATTATACGCAGTAATCCTAATTGGACATCAAATTTGGCAACATTATGAACACGCGCATCTGATAAGTGTCAAAAGTGATATACAGTATACTCCTATAACATGCATTTAATTAATATAAACTATATAAGCGTATGATACATGTTGTATTAGTGTATTATATTTATATGCGATGCATAGCGCCAATGATTCGCATGTACAGTATAACACTGTAACTCCTATGATTCGTGATATCTAACTCTATGATTTTTCTAACTCTATGATTCGTGATGTCTAACTCTATGATTCGTGATGTCTAACTCCTATGATTCATGATGTCTAACTCTATGATTCGTGATGTCTAACTCTATGATTCGTGATGTCTAACTCTATGATTCGTGATGTATAACTCCTATGATTCGTGATGTCTAACTCAATGATTCGTGATGTCTATAACTCTATGGACTATGATTCGTGATGTCTAACTCTTATGATTCGTGATGTCTAACTCTATAATATGATTCATGATGTCTAACACTATGATTCGTGATGTCTAACTCTATGATTCGTGATGTCTAACTCTATAATTCGTGATGTATATAACTCCTATGATTCGTGATGTCTAACTCTATGATTCGTGATGTATAACTCCTATGATTCGTAATGTCTAACTCAATGATTCGTGATGTCTAACTCTATGATTCGTGATGTCTAACTCCTATGATTCATGATGTCTAACTCTATGATTCATGATGTCTAACTCTATGATTCGTGATGTCTAACTCTATGATTCGTGATGTATAACTCCTATGATTCATGATGTCTAACTCTATGATTCATGATGTCTAACGCTATGATTCGTGATGTCTAACTCTATGCATGATTCGTGATGTCTAACTCTATGATTCGTGATGTCTAACTCTATGATTCGTGATGTATAACTCCTATGATTCGTGATGTCTAACTCAATGATTCGTGATGTCTATAACTCTATGGACTATGATTCGTGATGTCTAACTCTTATGATTCGTGATGTCTAACTCTATAATATGATTCATGATGTCTAACACTATGATTCGTGATGTCTAACTCTATGATTCGTGATGTCGAACTCTATGATTCGTGATGTCTAACTCTATATGATTCGTGATGTATAACTCTATGATTCATGATGTCTAACTCTATGATTCGTGATGTATAACTCCTATGAGTATGCGGTGGTAACAAAATGAAAGGAAATAAAATCTAGAATTTCGCCTGTCATTTTACTTTTGAACTAGCAGTTTTGGCCTGCATGCGAATGGCCTGCTTTTGCCAATCCTTGATGATAGGGAATTGTGTACTCTGTTTCAGGCCTACCCCCTATATTACATTATATAATTATTTATTGTATATTTGAAATTTGATTAAATTGAATATTAAAATTAACAACAGTGTAATCATTCATTGTTTTCCAGGCTATGATTGCTCAATCCAAGACACCAGGCAAGCAACACGACGTACAAAGTGAATCAGAACTCAGCCGTATCTTTGTCGTTATCCCCAAATCATTCAATGAGGACGATTTGCGTGCGAAGTTCAGCGATTATGATGGCGATATTGATTATTGCCAGGTGGTAAGAGACCGTGAAACGAGAGAATCGAAAGGCGTTGGTTATGTGAAATTTACAAAACCCTCCACGGCTGCATTAGCTATTGAAACCTGCGATAGGTCCCTGAAAGCCGTGATTGCTGAACCCAAGTCATCCAAGTTGAAACAACAGAAATTGGAAAAAGAGAAAAATGTCATGTCTGCATTTGCTGCTGCCATGCAAGCCATGCCAGTGAATCCTTTCATGGATCAACAACAATCTTTCAACTTCCCCAGCATCCATGATCAAAGTAATAACCCAACCAATACCATGATGGCTGCTCAAGCTGCGGTTACTGAAGGAATTGCAAATCAACTTGCTTCATCTTTCAGTAATAAACGACTCTTCGTGATCGTTTCTCCAGTTGTTACCCATGATCAGATTTCCACCCTCTTCGATCTCATTCCTGGCATGGACTACTGTGATCTGAAACGCGACCACAACACGCATGAGTCACGTGGTATCGCTTACGTCATGTACAAGTCCATGGGTTCCGCGATCTATGCGAAAGAGAAGCTGAATGGTTTTGAGTACCCACCCGGTTCGAGACTTGTGGTGAAATTCGCTGAAGAAAATACAAGCAATCAAAATGGTAAACAAAGTAGTTCTGTTGGTACACATGCTATGAGCATGGCAAGTGAGCAATCATACTCTGGGTATAATACAACTAACCAGGGGTATAATACGTCCACCAGTATGGCTGGGGTGAACCCTATGGTATTTAACCCTATCCCGGCAACCACACCATTCTACCAAGCTACCTCAGCTACCAATACTGGGACAAGTGCACCATATACCACTGCTGTGCTCCCAAATCCACAACCATTTGCCGACCCCAGTTCTGAAGTTGCTGCCCGTTTGTTCATTGTATGTCAACCTCGTGCACCACCAGAGCAAGTCCTGAAAGATGTCTTCAGTCGATTTGGAGATCTCATTGATGTATGGATGGTTGGTGATCGTAATTTTGGTTATGCTAAGTTTTGTACCAAGGTTGCTGCTGACGCTGCTATCACTGGCTTGAATGAGCAGGAGATATTGGGTATGAAAGTGAAGGTCCTTCATGCAGATCCACCAAAGAACGAAAGTTCCAGGAAACGACCACGTGTGTGATGTCGCTGAAGGAAGCTCAAATGTTATGTGATGGTCATCCTTCACTCTACTTGGGTTGCAAGAGGTATTGCAATATTTATTGACGTTTTATTGTGTGTTTTTAAACTTTATTCTGATTATTGACGTTAATTTTAAAAAGTAACGAATACTGGATAGACAAGATTACAATGAACAATATATTCAACTTATCCAACAATTTATCTGACTTAACAGCTTTAACCCAATGTATATCATTGAATACAATACTGAATATTACGTGATTACTTGGTACTTGTAACTTGAGATGTAATACTGATGATACTGTAATGTTTACTTAACTACTGCATGTAATTTTACTGTACTGTTAATATGTACTCAGTTTACTGTAACGAAATAAGTAAGTTAATTTATTTCTGACGAATCAACTGGTTCTCGACTTCATTTGTACTTTTAGGCATAGTTTTGCCATCGTTTTAAAATAGTTATTTAACATGTTAAATGAACGTAAAACATTAATTAAAATATATTAAAGTGACGTAAACCTTCTGGTTAAAAATTAAACGTTAATCTGTTAACAGCACATTATTGCTTTAAAGGCATAGTTAATAGAAATACTAACATAAACTACAGGTATAGTTTTCTATTTACTATGAGTGCAGTAAATTAATATGTTTTTTAAATTCTGAAGTATTGCCAATATTTCTTTTCTAAATATTGCAGTATTCCAACGGTTCGAACTCAAGCCATTCACCTAACTCTCTGCAGACGAAGAGCATTCGCTTGAGACTCCGGAATACTTGGAAGTTCGAAATATATTTGCGAGACCGACTTGCACCCATGAATCGTTTCTTTTAAAATGGTCTTTTTTTCCGTCATGGCAAGTGCAAATTAACTTTGTTTTAATTAAACAACTATAGTTTTGGCGTTTTATATGTCCAGCAAAAAAGAACGATAGCAAAGGTTATTTTGTGTATGTTACCTGCAACCAACACACTATATTGCTTCCATGTCTAATAACATGCCAACGGGAATAATATTCCAGTATTTTGAGACATGGCGTTGTCAAATTTATAGATTGCAAGTTGTATTAACAATAAATTATTCCCTAAAAGTATCGACGTTTCGAACAAAAGCTTTTCATGGCAATATGGCATACTTCTGACTTCCTGTCGAAATGGTTTCTGTGTCGAAACTGTATCGGATGTTGTCAATAAAGTGACAAAACTTAAGCATGGCATGAGTTCACCCATTAATAAACAGTTACTGGATGATCCTGGATATCCTGACTACGAAAGTCTCCTTCCTTTCACTTTCTACAACTTATACCTACACTCCCTCTTAAAAAAACCCTGTTGAAGAAGACTGTTCGGTTGAAACGCGTACGGGGTTGCCTTTCTTGCTCATTTTCAATCTCATGCTCTTAAATCTTCTCCTTGTATCATGTCCCACAAATGTTTCACTTTAGTTCCTAATTGCAGATTCCCCAGGTTTTTGTTACATATATTCACCACAGTAGTCGGAGTAAAGAGTAACACATTTTGGATACTGGTCCTCTCATTCTATAGGTTACACAATGTCTTACACTTGTCCAATGACCTATTTTTATACAAAAAAAAATTGATGATTTTACTTGTCAAGGGGAAAGTATTTGTAACTCAACCAAGGCATGGCAATTAAAATTAATGTAACAACTCCAGTTCTTAAAACAGTATATTGTGAACCTTTATGATCATAACCAATATAATTATAAAAACATTTAAAAAATACGTAAACGTTATCGTAAACGATTCCTGCATTTATGCTTATTCGATAGTTTATCCACTACGTGACTGAACATGGAAACTTATTCGTACTGAGACTTTGTTGGACTAGCATGCAAGAAACAGCTGGTATACGATTTGTTAATAACTGCACTGACATTAGACGGAACGATCTAAACCTAACCCAAACCCTGTAACCCTAAACCAACCTTAACCCTAACTGTGACCGTAACCCAAACCCTTGCCAAACCTTAAACCGAAGGCTAACCAGCAGCAAGTTGCATATTAACAAAGATGTGAAAATTGTTTTGGACTAACTTTCAAGAACCAGAAAAACTCGCCACGGTCCGGTGACAACACTAACGTGACTTATACAGTAAGTGCTTAATTTTAACTTGACTTGCCAAAATACCGTATATTAACCAAGCTGTGGAAACTACATCAACGATATGAACTCAACGATGACTTTACTCAACAGGTTGGTTCTATTAACACAAAATTCTAAAATGAAAGCTACAAAGCTGGCTGTTCTGCATGTGTTCCATATAACGTTACTACGAGTGTTTTCCACTCTTCCTTGAGTTACGGAGTTTTAAATAATGTTATTGCAGACGTCTTGATTATGATGCATTTTAGACGCTCTTGGTTATGATTAAGTTAAGAAGTGACATCTCTTCCAACCTAAAAAAGACATCACTTCTTCACCTTAATCAAGCATTTTAAAATAAATTGTGTGTGTAACATTGTTTTAACAGATGTTCAACAATGTATAAACTCAAGGGGAAATAATTGTATTTCCTGGGTATTTTTGCTGAACAGTCATGATAACCATCTAGGAAACATGTGAGACAGCCAGCTTTGTATCTTTCGTATAGTTTAGATTTTAGAACTTAGTGACGTCACAGACTTAGTTGAAACGATCTATGAGAAAGGTCCGGAACATCGATGGACCGCTATTTTGGGGCGTGGGCTGCTCTCGTCATCAGTGGGAAATAATACTTTCGAAAAATTTAAAAAGTACCTGACATAAAAAAAAAAGTTATTTCAGACAGCCATTTCTTTGAGAAATTTATATAAATTTGCAACCATTCAATATAAGGGATCGGTCATTATTTATGGGTGGCACCGAAGAGAAAATGGTTGGGTAAACAAAATTTTGAGTATGTAAAAGGTTGGGTAAATGAAAAACAAAACAACTTGAGGGTTGGGTAATGAAAAGTTATAGTCATATGTCAATACAATATGTGAATCGATCAGAGTCACTGTCTTGATCATTTTCCGATTTGTTAGGAGACAAATGGTGTCTCCAAAGAAAGTACATAACTGTGCAGACAACATGAAACTTTGACTGCATGCAAAAAAATTCGCAAGCCGTTATCCAACTCGTGTCACAGAAATGGTAAAGGACATATGTGACAACTGAATGGTAACCTTTTGTAAAGTTTTTGGCCAGGGGTGGGTATTTATTTTTTATTTGAGGTTGGGTAATCAAATTTTTGACTTTTTAATGGTTGGGTCAGCAACATTTTTGCCACGAAAAACATTTCTCTTCGGTCCCACCCCCCACCATAAATAATGACCGGTCCCTAAGCTCAGGGCTGGCATCTATATATACTTTGCCGCACTGATGTGCACAAAAGATGAAACAAGTTTTTATACTATACATTATCGTTTTTTGTTTCAGTTCCCTGTGTGGTACTAATACTTGGGAGATTGGTGGTTGGACGTAATGCTGGGATTTAAGGTAAAAGCTATTTAACCTTCATGTGCAAATCGAATTAGGATGGTATTTTAGACAAGCCCGTCATCCGACGGATCCATCCAATTTCAAAATCATTACTTCAGGCAATTCTAATCCGACATTCTTATTACTATTAGTATTAAAGAAAACGTACCTACTTGTTGCTCAAAAATATTCGATGATTTCCATCTAAAACTTTCCTATTTTGACAGCTTTTCGTTTGTAATTTCTATCATGTAACACATAACCACTCTAATAGCTCTCTACAGAGTTCGTACAAGTTCAAGGCCTTGAAATTCCTTGTATTTATGAAGCGCTTGAACTCGTCTTGCTTTAGTTTGGATATTTTCTGAAATTTGTTTAACATTAAAAACGGCCATTTTGTTGAAGATTTTGCTCATGTCTTTAATGATAGAAAGTTGCCATTTGAAGAGTTTAACGTCACTTCTTACTGATCACTAATGCCTTTCTTTTCTCCCTTTAGTCCTAGCTTTTCCTGATACATAGCCTTGAAAGTCCTTGAATTTTACTCTGACCTGGACGAACCCTGGCTTTCTAATCTATATATAGTTCATGATTAATCTAGTAATCTTTTTATCTTGTATGGACACTATGTAGCCAATTTTTAATTAATTTCTAACCGTTGGAAATGGGTATATTTTGTTTATTTTCAAATTTAAAATGTAGTACAAAATAAGTGCAAATTTTAATTGTATTTAGTCTGATGATACATTTGTCACTTGTGTATAAGTCCTGTATTATGTAGCAAGACCCATTGGCCTAAAAAAGACCAGGAGCGCTACCTTAATAGAAAATATTCTGTAATTAATTAAACTTTGTTATATTAAAATTTCCATTGCCTGCGGAGGACGCCAATATGAATATAGAGAAATTTATTTTATGTCTTTTCAACAAATTATAACGGGTTCATTAAACTCTTGTTTCCATCGTCTTAGCGGTTGATACATCATTCGACAGTGGGTACACTCAGGCAGAGTACACTCAGGCAGAGTACAATTATTGGTACAGCCATTTGCCCGAAGAGGGCACGTGGTCTTAATCTTCTTCAACAGCAAACATGGAATGTATATATTAAACACTGTTTGTTTTAGCTGGTGTTATTAAGGTCACGTGACACGTATAGGAACCCATGGACTGATTCTCAGCATAGTCTTTCAAAGCATGGTTTGGAAACTCCGCTAAAGTCTTTGTTGTTCTATCTTTTTGTTCGCGTTTTGAACACATTGTATTTCAGTAAAATGAACGAAACATCCAATAGCAACGTTTCAGTTCAGTCATTCAACCATGCTATTTAAATATTAATAAACCTAAAACAAAGGATGTGCACGGTGTAAGGTACGGCTCAACATAAACTCCCAGCTCATTATAACCGCTTTGAAGTTTACTGAGTTTCCAGACCATGTCTCGAAAGACTATGTTCTCAGATACTCGTTTTATATTGTCGTCATTGTCTAATTAGATAGATTTAGAAAACACGACGCAACGTCCAAGACACAGAATAAAGACATACAGAAGTGTATCTTCTTATTAAAAGTGCGTAAGGGATTTTTTCAGTCCGCCATGTTCTTAGCAAGTGCCCTAAAGAGAGGCAGTCACCCCCCTGAAAACATATTGAAAATTTAATATTCCAGGGGGGTGAATGCCTTTCTTTAGGGCACTTGCTAAGAACATGGCCGCCAGCTATTTCGGTAAAAAAGCGCCTTACGGTTTTGTAATGGAAGTTACACTTCTGTATGTCTTTATTCTGTGTCCAAGATGACGTGAAAATGACGTTATGCACCTCGCGTTCACTTCCGGGTTTTAATGTTTGTCTTTTTCGAAGCAAATTTGTACCTTCGAACGTCTTTGGGGTTGGACTTTAGGTGGCCTACTTTGGTCAACAGACAATACTAGTTACGAATGTATAGATGGTGATGGTTTATAGATAACATTTCGGCGTTTCGAACATACAATTTCTCCAAAACAAGTTCGGTAATGTACATTCCAAAAATAATTTATCTCATGACACGACCTTTGCAAGGAAAATGGCATGACAGAATTATTTGTAATTTTGCCCATTGTAAGTTTATGTTGAAAGTAAAAACGTACGAAAAAATAGTGTCACCGTGCTTTTCTCCCAACTACACGAAGCAATAGTCTACTTTAGAGTGAATATTGTACCAAAGCAACCAGGAAGTAATTTTTCAAATCTGACTATGAGGACTGGGCTAGATTTCAAGTCCGCGCAATTTGATCAAGTCCGAGGCGAAGCCGAGGACTGGGTCAAAGTGCGAAGATTTGAAATCTAGTCCAGTCCGAGGATTTGAAATGACATCTCATATAAATCACTACTTAAAATGAGGTGAATTAATTTTGATCCAGTCCTAGGAGTGGATCAATATACTTCACCAGGTATCCAGTATTATCACGTGAGCAAAATACAGCAATATGGTTGGCTAATTTACTCATGAATTATTAAAGATTTGAGATGAACATTCCTAGCCTCCTCCGCAGGAATTTCTATAGGGTTAGGATTTTAAAAATCTAGTTATCGTTTTATTTCCATGGTCCATACGAGTGGATGACTTGTTTCTAGCTCAACCACACCACTGTCATCAAATGCATTGGAAGTACTTATTAACTCACCAAATTGTAGAGCATGGCTAGCTAAAATAGTGAAGAGATGAACAAAATACATTAGATTCGGTAATTAGGGGTGTGTACCTGCTCATAGCGTGTATGAGCGCGCGAGATCACGACGGTGAAATTATTTTTTTCAAATTGCAACAGATACAAGAAACGATTGTGACGACAACCATTTTGGGCGGCAATCTAACCCCCCACCTGCATTACTGCATATCCTCGGTAAGTCGGAATAAATTGGTATAGCTACATTTCAGATATTTAATCACACGATAGTGAGTTATGTTCGTCGCTAAATTTGTGAGAAAGTGACAAGCATGTATAAAATGGCTTTCTATAACACGTTTACAAAATGTTAAGGAAATTAATGAATGTAAATTCCATTGGCCTTTAAATTTCTGGGGATGGTTGCACATGACATATACTGTGAGCATCTATACTGACTCTTCCACAGTACCTCGTATATATTAAAATCAATTGCCTGCAGGTTGGAAGAATAAGGGGCTGGAGCGCTCTATATTGTTTACAGTATCCTATGAGAATCATACGCTTAAAGTGGAAGTCAAGTCCGTTCTGCGCATCGGTTCTGCTCATAACAATGTGAGGACCTCTAATGTGAACATTGCCCAAATTTCGAATGTTTCGAATTTTTCTGAACATAAACTCTATTTCATATTTATTTAGAAGCATAGCGAACCAAAATGGTGTCAGATATTCAGACAGTACATCATATTTTAAAAAATACAGCAGTTCGAAATGTAAACAAACCGTTTGTTTACATTACGGACTTGACTTCCACTTTAAAAGTTGTAAAAATTTATAAAGTACTTACTCAGGTTCCACTTCAGTCCATGAGTTGTAACACTGTCACATTTGCTACCAATTGGTAGTAAACCACATTTGAGGCCCTCGTATCCACTGCTCACATCAATTGAATGTTTTCCCTAGATGAGAAAAAGACCCTACTTTAATGGCTTTTGTTACCTGGGTTGTGGTTCGATAGATAACAATTTATTTGCTTTGTTACCAGAATACAAGTTGTTGCATGCAATAGTTTAGATTTCACTACCGTTACTTTTCATGGACTTATTACGCAACTGATTGGTTAATTAATTAATGAATGGCAGCGGTAGTCAAAATCTGAACCTCTCTAATAACTGGACAGAAAACGGGAAAATGTTATCTTTTTTACTTATACTGTTCATCAAAAAGTTGAAAAATTAGTAAACTCATGCAGCTCATACCGATACTCGATAGATCATGGCTCTCGACCAACAACTTGAAAAATCGTGAGCTAAATTTGTAATTTGTAAAAAAGCTACTATACCTTGCCCATGCTATACTATACAACTCGTTTCCCACCAATTTTATATTTTTGAAAGGCCTGCGGAGGAGGTAGATATAGCATTGGACAAGTATTTTGCTTTTGAATTAAAGAAAAATAATAGTGCATATAAATTTCCCCTAAGTAACTGCACAATTTTCACATTCCATCTTAAATTAATCATCTATCGCACTTACTGGCTGAAGAAGGAAAGCAAGGCAATCACCAGCAAAAAGAATAACAGGTTTTTCCGTAATGTTTGCAGCTTGAAACAGAGTATTGATATTGGCAATAGTTTGATCAAGTAAACCAGAGAATTCCACCATCACAACTACTGCTGAAACCTGGATATATGAAATTATAAAGAGGAAATACACACTTGTGATTGAGGTCCACAGCAATTAAGTTAGCCAAAAATAATTTGCAGTTAGTCCTGCGGGCAGGGATGTGGCGAAGACGGGTGTAAGGATCGAAATTACCTGATTTTTTATTAACTACGTCTTACGTTACCTAAAAGCAGTATTTGAAATTTAGTGTTGTTTTTCATGAGTACATTCAAGTAGTAGGTAGCTATTTCTTTCGAAATGGATTAAGCTTGGAAATGTTCTTGGGCGTGGGTACACCCCATATATAGCTCAGGGCTGTTAAGTAATAAATTTTGAATTAGGGTCCAATCTTTGCTGACGGTGTTATCTTTACGCTATCAAAATCTTTACGATACCTAAATCCATTAAGGTATGCACGAATTGCAAAAGATACTATCTATCGTAAAATTTTCTTCTATGCAAACGCGTTCGCAAAATCTAGCTTCCAAAGATTGAAGCGAAGTTTGCAGTTCAAGTGACTCCCAACATCTGACGTATGGGGTTTCAGGAAATAATCAGTGAGCTCCATAAATATCTGGAGTGAGAACTCGAGACCAAAAAGTGAAGCCAAAGATGGAGCTATTGGACGTCATTTTCACTCCCTTTCCATTGTTTTTTTTAAAATAAAATACAGACCTGGTCATCACAGTTTTCAATAAGGTACCAAATCGCTTTCGTGAAATCTGTGTAATCTTGATCAGGTGTATGAACAATTTTTGTACCCTAGAAATAAAACAGTACATGCACCATAGCTATTAAGTTTGTAAAACGCGTTTTTGTCCTGTACCATTTTCGTATCCAGAGTTCGCTGGTTCGCTGTACGAGCTACCAATGGCGAAACACTAGCAGGGGACAACCACTCCCCCAACCCCAATAATTTCTGAAAACCTTGAAAGCATTCAATAGGCTATAAATTAAGCAAATTGGCAAAAAGTTTAAAGAAATGCAATTTGCAGCAACAAGAGGGTGGTAATATGATGGCAACTCAAATTCGCCCCCCCCCCCGGTATTTCGCAAAGTGTCCGCCACTGCGAGCTACACTGTCTACACTGTACCTTGTCTTTGTAGTATGTCAGTATGTCTTCTTTTATGGAATCAAAATCTCCAGTTATAAACTGTGGTATCCAATCAAAACTATACAATATTAAAAAAACCCGACATGATTTTCCATCGCCACGTTATCAGTACTACTACAATTACAAATCTTATTTGTTCAACCCGTAGAGATTTGTGTCAAAACTGTAACCCGGCCATGACTGATCCAGATATCTATCAGGGATATATTGTCTGTGGTTTATATAAAGTAAAATACTAGTACAATCTGCAGACATGCATGTTTCGGCGTTCAACGCCTCGTCAGTGCAGCTTGGTACACGTCTAGATACGTGAGACACTCGCATTTATACCCCATGGACTTGCTCTCACCAAGGCATGTGGTACAACACGGTGGTATAACACGGTGACTCAACGCATCCAGACATGCGCAGAGCGTAATGGGGCCAGAGTGCTCAAACTACCACAAGGGAAGTGAGCTTTGCATTATCGCTAATAGGCTCCCATTAACAACTCTGCAGAGTGCTCAACAACACCGGAGTGAAGGAACGTACTATATATAACTTAGTCACGTCGTCCAATATTTTTCCTCCATGCATGCATATTCTACAAAATCGGGTGAATTCCCCTTCTATGCGCCGAATACTACCAAGGTTTTTAAGACCATCGACATACCCTAGTACACTCTAAAAACAGTCTGGTTAAAATTGCTTCTCAAACGTCCTGGTTAACCTAGAAATAACCCTATTTGGAACTCCTGGTTATTTATCCACCCAACATAGTCTGGTTAATTCAATCAGGAAGTCCTGGTCAAATTAAAATATAAAAATAGGTTAAAATATCCAGGAAAATTAATCAGAAATATTAAATTAACCGAAACAGGGTTATTTCTATGACCAGGAAATTTTAACACGAGCCGTGTTTTAGAGTGCAACCCTGTATCCTTTTGTTAAAATTGACTAATTCCACCCTACTACCATACTGTGTATCCATATCTTGATTCCCTTATGCTAGTTATTATATGAAGTAAACCTACTTTTCATTTTCTTTACAGACTTTATAAAGCTCATTCGCCCCTCCGTCAACACAAATTCTTACTGAGGCTAGAAGAAAATAAACCATTATTATTGTTGTATTAAGTTGTATTAGTATTATTAAACCACTATTATCATTGTTTTTATTATATTTAGAATAGCTCAGCCTAGACCTACTCGGCTGGCTTTGGCAGGTCAAATGTGCCGCTAGGATTTACTAAGTATATAGGATGGTATAATATGCGAAATGAAAGCAACGTGTCCTAGTCCCAGTCTTCTCATGTGAAAAAGCGCTTATGCCTGGTTCGCACTGGTCATACGAATCGGGGATTTCCATTGTCTGTGGTCATTAATTGGTGTGAATGCTTTGTCTGTCGGAAAATAACACAATAGATCGCCGATAAATTACGACCAGTGTGAACCAGGCTCTAGTATTACAATAAAAGGCCTATAATAATAGGCCGATAATAACTCATTTCTGTTAGTAGAATCATACTAAATTAAATATACTATTGCAAATGCTGTTATTTGATTGGCTACTCTACTCGCTATCTATTCCTCGATAGACAGCGAGTAGCAAAACAATAATTTTCTTGGCGCATTTTTTAAAACAAATGGCTTCCGGTGTAACAGCGGATAGTGTTCCCCGCGGACAGTGTTCCCCCCGGACACCCCTTTAATTACTTTGCCGCGGATAGTGTCCCCCACGTGAAAAGTCAAAAACAAAGGCTCATCTTTGAGAGAAAATTTATTTATATAAAAACTTTACACTAGATTTTGCAAGCAAACTATAGAACAAGAATTTAATTATATAAAGATTACAGTATTTCATAATAAAAGTTCATTGAACATCAGAATGCTGGAGGAGTACATTCGGGCACAATCACTGTTCATTGCCTTCTATACCTTTCACATTCACGCAACCAAAGTGAACCAGTGGTCGCACAAAATCATGTCGTCGCTCACTTCAGGCATGAGACAATTGCAAACAATTCGATCTCAAAAATGTTTGGATCTTCTCTTTTCCGCTTGTTGTTAATCTGTTCTGGGAAAGGCTCGAACTCGCCATTCTCGAGGTATCTGATCAAATGATCTCTTTTGCTTTGTATGGTATGCTCATTTCCTGACGCCTTTCTACCAATAAAACCCAGAAGCTAAACCTTACAGTAGTTTCTTGCGGGGACAGTATCTGCTAGGGGGGACACTATCCGCGTTGCGGATAGTGTCCGGGGGGACATAATCTGCTAGCGGATAGTGTCCGGGGGGACATTTTCTGTGGGGGACACTATCCGCTGTGACACCTGTTACCCAGCTCGCGTTTTTCTGAGGTTTCTGAGGACGAACTTGATTGTTTACTCTGATTCTGCTAAAACAATTAGATTACTCGCTCTTGATTTCTATGAGGTGATAACTACCACCTCATAGAAATCTCGAGCTCGTAATCTAGTTGTTAATTGGTATATGGTCTTTAACCCTTGAATGAATTCTAGGTAAATGGTATAGAAAAGAGGGACCAATGATATCATGAATATTAATTGTGATTACCACTCTTCCACAGAGCTTTAAGTTTCTCGTAGCTTCCATGCAAAGGTCGATTCAAAATTATGAGACCAACATTTTTGTCTAAATAGAAAACACATTTTCAACCACAAACATGCATGCATGACAGTACAATATGCAATAAATATTAAATATTAAACATACAATCATTACACAGTATCAGATTTTATCAAAGACTATATGGTATACCATTTGGAAGCAAAGTTAAAACATATACAGGGGCAGACTGAGCGGTCGGGCAATCAGATGCGGACCGAGACCCGGATAATTTTGGAGGCGCAGAGTTAATCAAAACGAGAACAGATTCAAACTGTTTCCTTTTGTGGAAAATCCACCTAGTTCCACCGCCAATTTATTAGTGAAAATCAAATCGAAGTATCTGAATTATCACTCCCTGCAATGCTAGCTTTCTAGCTCGTGTGGAAAGACCAATGCTCGGGTGGAGAGATCGTTCTTAAGACAAAACTGAAGATGGTTAAGACCTAAGACAAGGCTAAAATCCTCGCTAATACATGAAAATCTTCTGTGAATTGTTCGTGATTATTGCTATCGAGAAGGTCATTGTGCTGCAGATAAAGAACGATAAGGATGCAGACTATTGACAAAACACCCTTTACTTTACATACTAGATGTATAAATATTATTATACACACGGGCCCGTATTTTATTCTACCAATTAAGGCCCAAAAAGTCATCAGGTAATTTTCTAGTATAAATCTTGATTGTAAATTTTGGTTTTAAAATCATTTACATGAAGTAAACTGAACAGTGGGATGCTAATCTGATCAAAGCTTCTTTCAAAATCATATACTTGCTGCATGTTCACCTCTTGCTTTCTCCATCATCTTCTCAAAACAAAAGTGAACCCCACCCATTTACCAGTCTTGTAATTACAGCAAGTTTCAAAGTTTTTGCAATAGTGGCACTATTAATGTCTTCAAAATCTACACCACCTGCTTGGATTCCAATCAATTTCTGCCCTAATCTGTATCACTGTATGCTAGTATATATACTTGCTAACTTACTTTAATGGCTATACTCAAAATCTCCATACCTCTCTGGCTCTGGGCTACCTTGGGTGCATGTCTGTCATAGCACAGATGCCATTAAAGTTTTGGCTTACACAAGGCCAGGGGCACACATTCAGAAAACGTTTGGGGGTTCTATTGCTCAGGGACCAACTTTTGAGCTAAAATAAGTTTATTCATATTAATGCATGTATGCCTCACATTCTCTTGATGCTGAATCTCCAGAATGTACCTATAATATGACGTCATTTCACAATATTTTATACATGTTTCACTTAAGATGTAACAAAACTTTCACTTGTCAATTAAGGTTGCTGTCAAGTCTGGGGGTCTTCCCAGAGAAAATTTAGTGGAATTACTTCAGAAATGCAATTTCCTGTATATTCTGGGGAAAATATAAGTATATAACCATGTGATAAAAGTGTAAATTAAATGTGAGGTCTTGAAGACTTCAACAAACATTAAATGTGAGGTCTTGAAGACTTCAACAAACAACTACACAGTGCATTTGTTAAGGATTCTTCAGTGACCAATGGGGCAAAACTGCCAAAGGGCCCATTTTCCTTGCCCTCCCCCCAGGATTGTATGTGATCGCCGAAGGTGTGAACTGAGTGACGTAGGCATGAGAAATTTTTTAAATTTTGGTCTCTGAAATAGCATTTCCTGCATTCTGAGAACACTTTTTTAAAAAAATCTCTTTGTAATAGATTGCATGCTAAACATTCAAACACAACATAAGTTTAAGTATGCTCACCAACAAACTTTGTTTTTTAAACTTCTTTTCATGTTAATTAAAACTAATTTACTCAATAGGCAATTTTTTTGTCTTCAGTGGTGGGGCTGAGGAAGGGGCCCAGTGGGGGGCAATTACCCCACCAGTCCATGGTATTAAAAAATGCCTTGCAACTACACAAGTGTCATAAATATTAGAATCCATCCTGTTTCATCACAGAATGAAAAATTTAACAAATAATTTTAATGTTGAGAACATGCACCCACGTTATGAGAGCTGTCAGTAATATTGCATCATTCCAGAAAAGATCCACACACATCCCAAGTAGAAAATTTCTGCTGTGCAGAGGGAGAACATTTGTTAAAGTGTATTATTAGGACATCTGAAGGGAGTAGGAGGCTTAACGTCCAATTTCCTCTGTGGGAATGGTATGGATGTTTTCTGGAATAACCCCTTGACCAGTAAAATCATCTGGTGTTAGTTAATTTTAATAAAGTAGGGTGCATTTTTTTAGGGCACAATGCAACTTAATGAGTTAATTTAAACCAAATACTTTTTCATCGAGATGTACATTGGCATTTTAGTTAATTATTAAATAGTGTGCAAGATTCTAAGGGTGTGAATCCTGGGGGGGGGAGCGTCCCCCAGAGTGCATTCCATGCACGTTTTGTGGAAGATCTTCGGCGTGAGTTTTGAATTGTTGGTGCACAATCACATCGAGGTTGGCACACAAGTTTTGAGTTTTGGTGGTTGGCGCAGCATCAAATATTTAAGGGAAGCCCCACATATCGAGAGAAACGAACATATGACGAGAAATTTGTGTTCCTGGTCAGTGTAATATTACTAAATGGTGGTTATAACTTGTGATACAACAGAACAGTAGCAACACTCATCATTGCTCATCAGCAAAACATCTTATTCATCAACTACACACCTTTTAGCAAGTTTTTATTTTTAAAAAACCCACTATTAATGAAAAATCACGATGCCCACAATCAGCCAGCGCACACGTTGACCTCACTTGGCACACGGCAACACCACCTCAGATTATCTTCGGCGTGAAGTTTACACGGAATGCATCCTGGAGCGTCCCCTCAGCTTTTGGGCATTCGTAATATAATTTACGTAAAAGAAATTACGGCCATTGGTCAAACAATGGATTGTCGTTTTTGAAGACTTTCCCCTTGACAAGTAAAATAATAAAATTATAGGCCGCACTGGTGACCACTGCAGCTGTGGTTGAGGACTTATTAGGAATGATAATTTTATATGGAAATTGATTGGATTGTCTGCCTGAGGTAATTGCAGTCAGTGTAACAAATCAACGTGAAAGCATAACATACCTGTTTGTGTAAGATAAGAAAGGGGTGACCAGCACCACACTTTATTAGCCATTCAGGCATTCACCACGTACAGTATTTTTTAAATCATTTTGGCCAACCGATATGAGATCAGTGTTTAATACATACTTCATGTAAGGCTAATTAAAAAACTCATTAATAATTCATGAAGAAAACACAAAAGAAATCATGGGCGTGAAGGAGTCTGTATATGTGATACAGATTCATGTTGATTTACATAAACTTTACCTTTGATTTTCTCGGCTTAGACAACGTTTATTTTTAAAATTACTTCGCCAATGAACTCATAAGATGAGTCGTTTTTTAAAGATGCGGTACAGTCCGTATGTAAACAAAGGCTTTGTTTACATTTCGGTATCCAAAATATTGAATTTTATTCGACAACTACTTATATTTTCATGATTCTAGAGTATAATAAATTGTCAAGACACAACAATCAAGCTTTGCAAGAACATAAAATAAAATGAAATAAAAACCTAAATAAACTGTTGGTAAATAAAAAGAGGGCTCCTTTGTGCACATGCGCAGATCGGACTGTACCGCATCTTTAAGCCTTTGTGTATCCGATACAACACGGCCGCTCATGTTGTAAATAGTACTTAAAGGCTCGCTTATCTTTAAATCCTATAAATATAATAAATGCCTAAACGAAATATCTCACCGAAGACTTGTCTTTTATCTATGATCACAGTTACCACACCGAACGCGTGTGATTACATTTTAACAAAAGAGTGCATTTTTTTATTTTGTGCTTTTGCAACATATACACTCAAGGGCGGAATATTAAGCAATTCAAGACAAAACACTGATAGGAAAAGCCCAAAAATGCGTGGAAAAGTTTTGAAAGCTCGCGCATGAGAATCTTTCACGCTTGCATATACGAGTCTACTTTGTTTATTATAGTAGACTCGCCCATACACGCACGAGCTTTCAAAACTTTTCCAAGCTATGCTATGACAAATACCACGCATTTTTGGGCTGCTATGGACAAAGTCTCAGCCGACTAGTCTCAACCCTTATCGTCGTAACGGATCGTTAAATATCCTGCACAATCGCATGGCTTGTCCTGCCAAAGCCTTTCCCTTGTGTGACACGCCAAAATCCAAATATCTTGGTCTACTATCACGGAAATCGTAGACTATCTAAAAGTTTCCCGAATATCCCCACCTCCGCCCCCCAGTCGCCGGAATTCAACCTTTGTCACTGATATGGGCCAAAATAAGAGCATTGGTAACACAAGATGTTTTTTATAAAACAAATCCAAGTTTGAAAGTATACAGACAAGTGTGCGCCAACCAGGGAAAAGGCCATGTTATTCCCCACGCTCGTTCCTCACTCGGAGAATCAGAAGTCATTTTTGCACGACCAATTTTGTCTACACACGATTGTCTGCGGTCATGTTTGGATCGGATGTCGAGATATAGAATTGTAAGTCCAGGGTCTTAACCAAGACCGGTTTGTCGAAAATTTAGATTTCGCTTACAACTTGACATTTACGCGGTGCCGGCCGGGTCAATCTCTTTGCGTTTGAGTGGTGTAAATTTTGAATATATATAGACTGTATGTTTTCGATAGCTTATAATATAGTGAGGACAAAATTCAGCTATTGAAAAGACTCGCAAGTTGTCAATGGTTAATGCAGATAACAAAACTTCTCAGACAATGGCAGTATATTGTAAAATATAAAGACCTAATTGAGTATTGTGTATGAAGCCATCAAGTACTAGACTTCAAAATACACACTGTATTCTGCAAGCCTTATTATAACTATAAGCCTTCCGAAAGGCGTCGATATAATAATCGGCCGTTCAAAAGTTTCAAGTGGCCAGTGTTGATACGACCGTGATCAAGTCCTAAATCTTAGGACTAGATAACAATCCATTGCATGCAGGGAGAGAGCCCGGGAGAATAAGAATCAGACTGAGGATGATTTTAAATGCAGGGACGCACACTATGAACTTGGCAACGACTTTGAGAGCTAAAGGCGATCACCGAAATATAAAACAATGGAATGTATTTTCAACAAATGGATTTAAAACTGCACAGAAGATTCATTCTTTATTATAGGCTTCTGTTTTACATCAATCGTTATTTCCCTAAAAAGCACGAGGATGAAAACATATATTTACAATTACATATATATGTCCATGTCTCTATCTGCATGCAGTTCGGTATCTCAGTAAACGTTACATGCAGATATTTGAAAGTATACTAGTTCAGTTCCCTTCATTCATATTTTGTGTTGGTATCGAATTCCAATGTACCGTTATATATTTAGAAGCTAGGTAGAAAGATTGAGTTCAAGTGCATGAATGACATTAGCAAGATTGAGTTAAAGCACAGCTTTCGAAACTATAAGGTAAGTTATTTTACAAATTTTGTTCAACGTTGAAACAACTTGAGCAAGTCTGTGGACATCAAGTTTTGACAAGTCTGATAAAACAACTTGAACGCATCAATGTTGATGCAAGTTGAGAAAATCAGGTATATATGTGTGGGTCTTCGTTGAATTAGTGATTGTAATATTTTGGACAGAGAATGTCTTCTCTAATGTGTCTTGTCTAGTTGCGTTGTATAGTTGAATCAACAAAGTGAACAAACACAAAGCTTTCGATGTTTATCCAACAAAACTGCTCTGCAGAGGTGTCACCTCCAAAGTATGATTTTCTCGGCTAAATAACCTTGTACCGTCCTGCTGGCTGTGGTGCGTGATATTTACTCTGAAAATAAAATATAATGTTTACAATTCTTCTGAGGAGTTAATGGTAGCTGCATGAATCCCTACACAGAACCAGCTGGCTGACTTATTTATAGTATTGAAACCTGCTTACCTGACGAAGCAGTTCTTCTTTGAGAACCCGTTTGATTTCCGATTTCGCAATTTGAACAGCTCGTTCAGAGGGTCCTATATACATTATAATTAAGAGAGCAGTGCATGTCATTAATACACAGTGTGTATATTTGGCAAGTGAAAATTCGTTTTTGGTGGGATATTCCCATCATATTTATATATGATGTACCTTCGATGTATAGATATATTTTTCTGTCCCCTTCAGCAGGTTGGCTTCCTAAATAAATGGAATATTTACAAAAGCTTGATATCAGTTATGCGATGTGCGATGGCATCGCATCGTTCGTTTCATTGAATCTGTGCTAATTTGTCTCAGCAGATTCAATTTTCTTGGGCAATATTCAATAGTTATTAAACTGGATCCAATACTGCTCTTCATGCACGAATTGTAACTGGATAATTCATGATTTCCCTTTTTTGAACTTTTCACGTACATGTATTAATACTTTCAAGTGATGACTTTTGCACATTTTTGACCAACATACCTGGAGCAATGTATGTTCCACGCACTGTTACTGCTGCTTCAGAATACTCAGTGATTTGAGAAAGCGTGTCCTGCAAGAGGGTGGGTAAAAATGTATAAAATATGCATTAACATACTGTAAGATTGTAGTTGCCTGTAGTTTAATTGCTATTCAATATGAATGGCAATCCTTAATTAGACGAATTTAAACTTTATATGCTTCCACTCGCTTACTTTTAATCTTTTATAATGTTTTCATTTTAATCTTTCACACTAAAACATGTTGTCAAGATGCAGTGACAACAATTTTCCACCCTGACTATTTTTATACAGTCTTTGGAGAACAACAAATTAGCTACATAACTACTGTAAATGAATAAATAAGTTCCTTTGCATGGCGAATAATAAAATCTATCAGTTTTGGTTTGTGGAAACACCACGTAAATTTATTATTTGCAAATAATACATTTACAGTACGTGGTGTTTCCACAAACCAGAACTGATAAATGGTCGTATTTTTTTTTTCAATAAAAAAGCCCGACGTTGGTTCCATTAATTCGCATCCTCGACTAGAAATTAAAATAATGCAAACTTAAAATTGTATGCAAACCGTATGCTCCACAACCGAGCTTACACCGACGGGAATAGGTCGTACCTTAGAAGTGATTTTCCAACGTGCTTGTTGCGGAAAAGAGTTGATCTCAATTTCGTCTTCATAACGATCTTCAGACGATGTTGTCTCTTCTTCTTTCTCCGGTTCAGCAGGTATGTAGTTCAGTTTATTGTTCACCTTTTCTGCAAGTTGTTTCGCCAAACCAAGTCCCTACATGAGGAGCACAATGCATTATGCTTTAGTTTAAAATAACATAGGAACGAAGTCCAGTTTATCTTGTTAACAAAAACGTTTGAAACAATGAGAAGGCTGCTACCCTGGATACATTTTTATAATCTCACTAACTGGCGTTGGTTCAAAAGGAGCATTCCTCCTTTAAAACGAGTGCAATGACAATGGAGGGATATTTTAAATATCATGAGTTTTGGGTTAAATATGAAATATGAGATAAACTTTGAGTGATCCTGTTGATGACGAAACATGCATATCCATATAATAATCCAACCTGATGGGCTACAGCACGCGTTGATTTACGTACGGTATTTCAGTCAACATATTCGAAGAATAAAGCAAAATATGAATATAACTTGCATGTAGAAAGATTTTCAACGACATTCTAAAATGTATTTCATATATTCCCATGTCCATGCTCATGCATGTATCTTAATTCGCAGAGTACTCGATTACGGTGGTTAATTTACTTACAGACATTTTGCTAACAACTTCACCCTTCATGATCTGACTTGTAGCTTGCTGCGTCATGTCTAAATTCTAAACAACGAAAACGAGGTAGTGAGTTAATAAAGGTGAAAGATAGCATGGGCGGATTTACTGGGGGGAGGGGTTACCCCCTAGAATCTCTCTAACCCCTCTTATAAAGTGTTCAACCCCACCAAAATTTCCCTTCACCTCTCCTATTTTGTGTGAAAGTCTTTAATCCTAACGCCTAACCCCTGCCGAAGCTTGCTCAGTGGTGCTGCTTGCATCCAACTAGAAATTTTTCCACCCTTCCTTTAAAAAAAATGAAAATCCACCCTTGAAAGATAGTATACAGGGGCCGGTTGTTCGAAATCCGATAAGCTAACCCTGGGCTAATCTAAAATTCAAAGGAAACTTCCCAACAGCTTGTTGCATAAATTTGGAAATATTTCTTCAGAAATCTTGTCTGGATCAGTATAGAAGTTTTCTTCTTGTTTTAAAAGTTTTAAAATAAATAGATGTGCAGAAATACATAAACTAAAACAGCAGATAAATTTTAACCGAGGGTTAGCGCCAATCACAAATTTTTATCCTGCCCCAGTATAATAATTACTTCATCCTCTATTAATTCAATTCAATTCAATTGACCATTTGCGTAATAGACAAAATTTTGATCTAGACAAAAATTTCAGCACAGTTTGAAAGAGCATCACAAAATTAGTAATATTCCAAAGTTTCGTTGCGAAATGTTGTAAAATGCGGATAATATAGCCTTGCGAAGTTTGCAATTTTCAGTCATTTTAGATTACAAACGGGAAATTGACAGCCCGATACGCTTTGAGGCTGTCAATATTTACAACATTTCGCAACGAAACTTTGGAATATTACTAATTTTGTGATGCTCTTTCAAGCTGTGATGAAATATTTGTCTAGACTTGTTGAGATCAAAATTTTGTCTATTGCGTAAATGGTCAATTCAATTCAACTATGCTTCATCAAACACAAACAATTTTCATTTCTTGAGATGACCCGCATACTTACATTTCCCGAACTAATCTTCTCGTTGATCTTCGCAGCTATGCTGGCAGCAAGATTGAGCTTGGCTGAAAAATATTTGTACCATTTTGTTAAAAAGTTAATTTGAACAGCAAGAAACAGAAATAAACGCATTCCGAGAAAATCCATATAAACAAATTAAGAATCACAGTAACTACAGTGAAACACGCGATTTGATTGGTCAATGCCCGCACGCAATATTTTATTGCCTTCGCGCGGGCTTTTTAAAATGTCGGACAATGAAAACATTTTAACGTGTGAAGTTAACACTATAATAAACGAGAGACAAGTTAACAAAAACGTTAATACAGTTATAATAAAGTTAACCGTTTAAATAACGTTTAAATAAAGTTAACGTTTTAAAAATAAAGTTACTGGCCGTTGTTTCACTGTAGTTATTTTATAAAACAATTACTAATTGTTTTTTCTTTTCCGTGCAGGATAGCGAATCCATGCACTTGGGATATTGCTCGACTTTTGGAAAGCGTAAAAAATCATCCCGCGTGCGTGGATGACACTATCCTGCACAGGAAACCATATGGTATTCCTTTAGAAATTCGAGTCAGAGAAAAACGTTTTATCTATACTGTTAAATCTCAAATTGAATTCTCGAGATAGCATTTTCCTTAAACCTGTTTTTTTTACAAAAATAATACAGAATTTTAAACAGCTAAAAATGGAAATACATCTAATGTTACCTTTCTGTGCCCCTTTAATAGCTTCAGGCGGGTTAGCGCCAGGAGCAACTGGTGGAGCAACTGCTATACCGGTTTTCTTCAAGGTTGGTTTATTACTAAAGGCTTTGGCGATGTCTTTATCAATCTGGTAAATATTAGATAAAACAGAAATTATATATAGCTAAAGGCTTAATAGAAAGATTATCTTTGAGATAAATTTTTTTTCTTCCAAAAACCCAGGTTTAAAAAAGGTGTACATTGACAGTTTGACACAAAATTGAGTGTAAGTTAACACCAGATTGGTGTCCACACATGCAGCTGCAAGAATTTACACCGTTTTGGTGTTGTGGTAACACTACCAGATTTCAGTCAAAGTTACTAATGAGAATTGTATAATTGAAAAAGTGTATTATAAGTCATGTATGGTTCCGTTAGGATTAGTGTACATTGGTTTAGTCCGCTGACAGCGAAATTGAAATTAAAATCATCCCAATAAAAATCTTACCTGGTCTGCGGCTTGATCTGCTGCTTCAGCCTCATCATCTGAATCTTGCAGTCCCAACGCCTGGAAATTAATTATAAATGCTAAAGTTTAATGTGGGTTATAAGCTTGAAAAAATCACTATCCGGCCTTCATACAACCTACCCGTGATTAATTTATTAGTTATAAAGTAGAAACTTTAAATCAAAGTAGAAACTTTGTGAGGTCCACATCCGTAATTTTATGGCTTTTAAACATTTTTACAAGGGGCATTACACTACGCTTTTTTATCGGTAGCCTATCTTCAAATTTTGACAAGAAGTTGTAATTTTGTGCATGGTAAAACTCGCAGGCTGTATGCTTTCGCCATGTTGCCCGGCATGGTAACACTTTGCATTGTCAATTGCCATAAGTACGACTGTAGGGAAGGGAGCCACCTTCATTAATACATGCTTTAATATGCTTGTCCGATATCTTACCCATTTTTGCATTTTCTTGGCTTCGTTAACTTGGTTTTTCTCGGCTTCATCGAATTTAAATCCTGTAAAACAATACAAATATATAAGCTACTAAAGCATTTTGTTCTCATTCAACGTTTTCACGCGACCACCAATGGGTGGTGCAAAAAACGAAAGACAGAGAAACGTATTGGAGTGAATGTTTCGGAAAGAAAATTATCTTAAGTTCTGCTTACTATACCTTTCCCAGAAAATCCGCTGTTCTTTACAATGCCTTTTCCTTCCTACAATCATTGTTATGGTCAAGCACAATAGTTAGTTACACCGAGTATGTCGTGTCCGGACCGTAAGGTATGGGGGCGTTTTCAAAAAATAATGGTTAAGTAAACCCGTACAAATGCGCAATGCATGCATGAAAATATACTTTAACGGCAGAGTACTGGACTTCCAAAATTGGAAATACTGTATAGCCTTGATGTCAAGAAGTGTCAATGACATACCAAACGATCAACACAAAAATAAAGGAGCACAACAGTAACAATAGCACAATCTCTAGTGTTCGATATATCGCATAGATAGGAAAAGAGCGTGGAGCTTGACAAGCAAAACACTTCACTGCAACTGGCCCTGGCGAAAGGATCAGAGCAATGCATAAAAGTACACAAACAAACATGAAACACATACCGCTTTCCTTTGTTCTTTATATTCTTCCATCAATGCTTTCAAATCGTCAGGTACACCCGCTCCTGAAAGTTCCAGCCCCTGGAAACGGCAACACTATTTACTGAGAGATCAAAAAGATTAAAAATCCACCAGAAGTAGATATTACGATTTCAACATTTTTCCAGCGTTCGTCTCTTTTCATGCATAAACATTGCACTATAGGATTTTACGTTGTCTAATACCAGCAAACTTACCCAATGGGGACAATGAAAATTAGTTCTTGGATGGGAAAGTGATAACTACATGCATTCTTTGTTTTCTTTTGAAAGTGGTAACAGCATGCATTCGTTCTTTGTTTCTCGAAACATACATCTACTGATTATGGGTAAATATCAAGAATTTGTTGGCATCTCACTCGATTGATTAAAGAATCACAGTCAACCGTGATGCTTTGCGCGCTAAAATGTTTTGATTGTTTTGTATTCCGCCATTTTATTAGCGACTTTAGTGTCGAAAGATTGACATCCGAAGCGTATCCTGATCCTTATATCAATCTGCATTATTCTTAGATGTCATATTTTTCATAGTTGGACTATGTTAATAGATAATTGATTGAGATTTTGGCGTGTGTGTATATTTATCTTAACCAATGATTTTAGAACGTTTTCTCATTTTATAAAGTAGATGGCTAATGATGACTTCTGTATTTCCCGTTCGTGGAAGACCAACAAGTGAGGGTATATCAAAAAGAATATCGTTGACAAGTTCAACGTACGCCCTTTGGACGGAAAGGAAAGAAAGCCTGGGAATACGGGGGATTTCGAGGGGGTTTTCACATAGCGAGTCGCCGAAATCCTGCTCCATCAAAGCAAGGACGAACTGCATGAACGTAGTAGGTGATGGGGCAGGAATCAGGATTTCATCAAAACACCAGCAGATATAAATGTATTAAACTTTTTTATTTATAATAAAGTTTATGTATATGATTTTTAGTGTTTGACTATTTTCGAAGACACTATTTTTAGCTCCCCATACATGTAAACATTTACATAGCGCGCAAAGCATCACGGTTGACTGTGATTCTTTAATAGTTGAATGGTATTGTAGATGGAAATTGTCAAGTGGAAATTTATATTCATTTATTATAGACCTAACCAGGAACAGCTGCGAGAAATGCAACTTTAGGTCGCTGGCAGGAATCAAACCTGCATGCGATTCTGGTGCAGCGCTCTAACCAACTACACGAGCTACAGAGTCTAGTTGTCGAGCCCTAACCACAAGTTCATATATATATACTAGGGCACTGCCATGTATAGGTTATGGGTAAATATCAAGATTTTGTTGGCATCTGACCCGCAGGTTGGATTCCAGGCATTTTTCGCAGCTGTTCCTGGTTAGGTGTAATAAATGTATACAAATTTCCACTCGATAATTTCCATCTACAATACCTTCAACTATATATCTACTGACCACACAATCAACTTTTTTTCAATTTAAAGTAACTCGTTCAGCACAGCCGCAAGTGTTCTGCTACAGTAATAGTTTATAGTGCTATATAATCGGAGCAGAATATTTACCTTTGTAATATCTACGGAAAATCTATAAAATCAATGAAATAAAGATGTTCAATGCATTTGAAAACAAGCAATATACAGGCCAGGTGGTAAAATTACAACCAAATAATCACGATCTCTATGCAGACTAACAAAGGAAAGAGAGAAAATTATCTTGATCATATTTAAAAAAGATTGTACATTCAGCGATATGTTATAAACGCGCGGAATAGTCACATGATTTCACAAGATAAGAAGTATATGGATGAAATAAATTTGCGAGGACTAAAATAAAGACTGATACAGTACAAGTAGAACAGCAGCGAGAAAAGACTTTAGAAAAAATTACTAATGGTAAAAAATAAACGTTGAATGACGCGCAGTTATATTATTTTTATTAAACTCAACTACATATATATCACTGGATGGATACTTACTTTCCTTGTTCAGGTGTGATGAATGTAAAAGCCGTCCCTTTATTACCAGCACGGCCAGTTCGACTGAAAATAATAGAAAAAACATATTTACATATATTTTCTTTGGTAGAAAAAATTGCTAAAATGCAAACAAAAGCGAGACTTTCTCTTAATCGCTTACCACGTCATGCAGCAAAATTAGGGTTAGGGCGTTAAGGTTAGGGTTAGCGCGAATCTGAATTCGCCTAGTGAAAAACATACTGCGTGCCATGCAGAGTAAAAGGTATGGCTTTCGGAAGGTAAATTTAGACAGTACATACAAGCGTTCCTCTTTTGGTATTTACACAGGGGGTCCAACTAAGAGCTGTGTTATGAATATGAATAAAACATTAATTAAACGTAATATGAATAAAACATCATAACGTAATACAGTATTTAAATTATTGCACTTACTTGTATAAATCATAAGAGCTTGCATTTGCAGTGAATAGCTTCAAACAGGGCGCTTATGTACGCTCAGAAACATTGCTTCGAACGAATGTTCAAATATGGCGAACAAATTGACAAAACGAAAATATTACATGACGTTCCAATGAAAATAACAGCAAGGATTGCGGGCGCGAGTGGAAGGCGAGGGTAATAGATATTAATAGAAGGGATGCAACACCGGTAATGCGATCGTGTGATGCATGTGTTCCATAAGTATCCTGTTCTCTCGGAAAATTCCAAAACGCCTCCTGCCTATGAAATGTTTAAATGTAGCGACCAACGTTTTTTTTACATTATTTAGTTTTATTATTATTTAGTCATACGTCACGAGAACAGGCTACTTATGGAACACATCTCGCGAAAACGGCCAAGAATGCTCGCTGTTATAAATCACATAAATTAGATTGATCAGTGCTTTTTTTGGTAATGACTAGGCTTGTTCATGTAAGAGAACATCGACTGAGCCCTAAAAATACCACAAAAAGCTTAAACGGATAGTCTAGAAGCATTTTAAAAAGTCACGTGATATTTGTTTCATCCCGTCTATTTATTTCTTCCCTCGCCTTTTTGCTCGTGCGCCCGCAATCCTTGCTGTTATTTTCGTTGGAACGTCATGTAATATTTTCGTTTTGTCAATTTATTCGCCATATTTGAACAATCGTTCGAAGCAATGTTTCTGAGCGTATATAAGCGCCCTGTTTGAAGCTATTCACTGCAAATGCAAGTTCTTATGATTTATACAAGTAAGTGCAATAATTTAAATATATTACGTTATGATGTTTTATTCATATGACGTTTAATTAATGTTTTATTCATATTCATAACACAGCTCTTTATAGTTGGACCCCCTGTGGTATTTATACGCAATTTGCATGCAGTCTATTGATGGACATTAACATGGAACGATACAACATACCCGCATCTATGGACGTAATCCTCGTAGTGATTAGGACAGTCAAAATTCACAACAAGTACCAACTGTTTAACATCAAGACCACGAGCTGCCACAGAAGTTGCAACCTAATAAACACATGAACCTCGACATCATTTTCTTTGCCGAATAACGCTAGATATACTCATTTTTTAAGGGTATTCAATTGGCTATAGAATCAGTAAGAACTAAATCAAACTATATTTTTAAAACTGGATAGCTTTATCAGTTCTCTACAAATTGTTGTCCATAGAAGTCCTGTATTAACCATCCCTTTTTGCTCCAACTTTATAATATGCGAGAAAACCAAAGAACCTGAAGAAATCCTGCGGTGTTTTGTAATACAAAACTGAGTGCAGCTCTTCTATAATATGCAACGAAGGCAAAAGTACGGTACTCAGATGGCTGTAGCCTGCTCCCCGGAAAATTTGAAACGGAAAATTAGGGTTTTCCTTTGAACGAATTTTCGGGCTGCGAGCAGGCTAAGATGGCTGCAGATAGTGCAGAAATCGAATTTAGGCGGTATAGAGGTGCACAGACTAACCATGCAGCGACAACACTCGCAACTTAATTGAGTCAGTCAAAATAGATTTATAACGTACAATAAACTTATATACACAAATACACACCATCAGTTTTATAGTATTATTCTTGAAATCAGCGATAGTACTGTCTCTGTCGAATTGATCCATACCTACAAACGAATGGATGGATTTTATTATTTCATAGACTCAAATGGCTGCAGATGGACTAATAAAGGCATGTTATTTGTGCAAACGTTACTGCATGCTAAAAGGAGGTTTCATTTCAAACAGTGGTTTCATTTCTTCTCGGCACGTATACACAAAACAAACAATGGTGAAAAGCAGATTATTAAAAAAACGGTCATCAAGTTTAGATTAGTGTCACTCAGATTAGGATTAGGATTAGATTATGGTTAGATTAAGATTATGTTAGGGGTTAGAGTTGGGGTTTGATTAGACTTGCTCCAAGTCTCTCTTTCATTGTCATATAGTATCGATGCACTATAGTGTACATTACATGACGTAGTACGAAGGGGCGGAGAGAGAGACTTGTCAACTTCGGAAAATCTCGGTTCAAAACTGAACCGAAAATGCAAGAATTGCTTTAATTTAATTGTTTTCTGTCAGTGTTTATATGTATTGATCTAGCACAGTGTAAATAACATGAGTTCCATAATAGCAAATAAAACAGAAATTGAAGGAAAACAATTAAAGCAAGTCTTGCATTTTCGGTTCAGTTTTGAACCGAGTCGACAAGTCTCTCTTTCTCGCTCCGCCCCTCCGCGCTACGTCATGTAATGTACACTATAGTGGATCGATACTATATGACAATGAAAGAGAGACTTGGAGCAAGTCTAGGGTTTGATTAGGGTTATAGGTTCATCTATCCCAATAAGTTATTGCGCGAATTTATTGTATTGATAATTTCGGACGTGTTTAACAATTTACTCGTATAGTAAATTCAAAGGTCGAGCTCATGCTGGCACAGCATGATTATTGAAATGATTGAATACCAAATTAACTCGATACCTAAATTACAGCGGAACAGTTTGGAACAAAAATATTAATTTGTTTTCGATCCAGTAAAACTGTAACTAATGTGACTACTTGAGGATTTATCTGAAAGAACATAATCCATGTGGCATGTAAGATAAAAGTCACAAAATTGTATTTTCCCAAAAAATTGTAATATTTGGCAGAATATTTTGAGAATTTGAGCCCTAAACCCAGGTTCCAAGAAAGAACATTTTCCAGCTATGGTGAAAGGCAATTACCTCCATGAAGCGAGAGACATGGGTAAGATCTCTTTAGTAAATCCTTCAGTAAACTATCAGCCGATTCTTGTTTCTCAACAAACACCAAAACACTTCCTAAATAGAAGAACAAATTTTGCTACGCCAATACGTACCAATACCGTAAATGATGTAATAAAAGCCCTTGGCGTTTATTGAAGGATTTATTTTCTACTAGAGAGGGGGCATTTGTTGTTAATATCGCAGTTTAACGCTTCTTAAAGAGGCGGTCAAGTCCGTTCAGCGGATGTGCCATTTGTTAACACTTTAAAGACACTATATTCATAAAATATGATACACTTAGTTAACATCTAACATCGTTCTGGTTCGCTATACTTTTAAAAGGATATAGATTAGAGTTTCAATTTAGAAGATGTCAAAACAACGCAAAATTTGGGTAGTTTTTACACCAGACGGCCCTCACATAGCGCATGCGCAAAACAAACTTGACCTCATCTTTTCGCTTTTCAGCAATTTGCGGAGTGAACAAAAGTCAAAACTCTTCAGATTAAATCAAATTTTTTCTTCCAACTTTTAATGTTTTTTTTTTATATATATGGTTGGGCTGTTCGCTTACCTACTGACCCTACTATATTTTCGTTGCTTGCTTTACAATACAACGTGATGCCAAGAATGGCGTCCTTTGCCCACAGCTATTGCTTCTTGAAATGCATATGTGTTGTGGCAATGCTCACTGATCGTGTACACACTCATGGCCATTGCTACCAATGTCATGCAACTACACCAATGTGATATATTTTTATATTTTTATATTTTTATAATAATATATTTTTAATAATATTTTTACCCTATATTTTGAAATCGGAAGCACAGGATATTTTTGTTAGGCCTAAATATGCAACACGTACCTTGTTCTTGATAAATACCAAGTAATTCCAGTAATTTTAAAAATTTATCATCTTCATCAATAATAACCTGAAAATCATTTAATAAATAATAAATTGAACACCTTTCCAGCTCGCCACACGCCTCGTGAACCGAAATCCTAATATACACAAAAATCTTTTGCGTTGGTGATGAAATAAACATCTCATGAAGTATGTGCAAACGTACCACGTGTTGCTCTACATCAGAACACACCACGCTCCTCCCGCCTACTTGAACCTGAAAAAATGATTTACAAAAAAATTTAGATTCACAAAAAAAACTAACAAAATGACTGCAAATATTGTACAAACACTGATCTCCAACTAGGACTGGATAGTGCATTCGCTATACACAGTGAGCTCTATATATGTCTGGAGAGAGAACTCGTGAACAAAAAGGTATTGGACGTCTGTTCCAGTCCCCCTTTCTATTGTTTTTGTCTGCGCGGTTAACACGAAGTTGCAATGAGTGTGCCGAAATTTCGTGGTTTTACTACGGATACGATCCGTCAGAAATAGCTGGGAAAATGGTATTAAACCATTTACGACCTTCAGAGCTATTGGACGTCAATTGCCGCCATCTTGGCTTCACTTTTCTCATAGACCGAATGACTGACGTTCTTGCTCCAGATATATATAGAGTTCACTATGCATAAATGAAGAAGGCAATGATAATGGCGGCCATATTGGTGTGACCACCAAAAATCTACTGTGGTGTTCCTAGCATGTTAGAAGAGGTTGCTACAGTTTCTGGTCAGCCTTTCTTCCTTCGTAAACTTGCCAACTTCGTAAACTATCTACGTGATGAGAGCTACATTATTTAATTTATATAGAGTCTACGTCATAGAAATATTAGACCTAGAATGCGTGCTTGGTCACGTGACCGGTGTCCAAACTGAAAACAAAAATGCCCTTATAAATCCGCCATGTTGAATTTGAGTAGGAGTGCAAACTACAAAGTATAAACAAAGCTAAAACTATAAAGTTTTCATCGTCAAAACGTTTGGTATTTGTAGTTTGGGGATAGAATTTGAAATATTAAGTTCTTTAAAGGCTCAAAGCAAATGTGCCGTTACAAAAACGGTGAAAATCGTGCAGCCTTGTATAAAAAACAAGTAGTTTTTTCGTGTAGTTTCGCGTATAAAATATAACTTACTCATAAAACATTTTTGAAAGCTCTGAACGTAACTGTTTTGCTAATACTTTATAAAATTACGAGATGATAGTTCATTCTTCGTCGGGTTTTGTTTTTCTTCAATCTAAACGAAGTGTTTTCATGTTTTTGAAACAAAAATATTTAGTTGTTGATATTTAAACTGTAAATCGCCTAAATGATCGTCGAAAACACATGGTTTCAAAAGCGTTGCCTCAAGCTCAAGCAACGTATAAAAAAGTATAAAAAGTAGTTGTGTAAGTTTAAAAAGATTATTGAACACTATTTATATTATAAAACAGTTGAAATATATTTTTTAAAACATACCTATTGAGTTTCAGTTTGTCTTGATTTTTCGTGTTTTGTTTTGGCTTGCACAACAACGTTGAAAATGTATTTTGAAACGACGATTTCTCTATATAATCTGTTCAGAACTATTGCTCTTCGTAAAAAAACCCACGGGAATGGGTTTTTCTCCATTAAAAACACTTTTTTCCACTTCAAGTCTGGATAGAATTGTTTTTGCAAACTTTGTTGAAAAAAACAATTCGCACTCCCGGCACCGCGCGAAATTCCACGCCACAGGAGTCTGGGACTAGCCAAAATGCCCTTATAAATCCGCCATTTTGTGGAGACAAAATTTTTACTGAGAAGAGATAGGAGCACGCATTCTATGTCTATTATTTCTATGGTGGTCATCCTCACTGATCTCAAAAATATGGCGGACTGTCATGGATAGCGAACACTGATTGGTCAAATTTAAAATTTGTTGTTGTATGACAAATGACGACTTCAACTGACAGATACTTCATGAAAATAATTTGCTTTTTACACTACAGTATTTTGTACGTTTGCAAAAAACTTTGACAGCTTTCAAAGCAATTTGCTCTATAAAGAGTTTAATAAAACAATTATGGTATCAAATACCAATTGAAAAGATATGGACTACTGTATGGAGCCAAATGAAGAGCGGCAAGGAAACGACAAGAAAGCCGAACGTCTCGCGAAAAGGAGGGAGCCAGCGAAGACGACAACGTTTGCTCGAGGAGACTGCTGAGGAAAGAGAAGCCCGCCTGGGAAAGCGTAGAGAAGCATGGAAAAAAAAGACTGCTGAAGCGAAAGGTATTAAAGCAAAGGCTTGTATTCACAACGCTATGTACCAATGATACTGTAGCTATACAAGTTTAAGTATGATATTCGACCCTCTATATTCGACTATTTCTTCACAATTTTCCAATAAAGAGTTTGTCATGACACGATCAAGTCAGTATAACCAGACTGTATTTTATTTATATCAGTTATCAAATACCGTCGGTGGCAACTAAGGGTGAACAGTTGCAGATAAAC